CCAATCCTTTTCATTTTCTAAAGAGAAGTAATAGAGCTACTTTAGAGCCTAGAGGAATTTTTGGAAATAGGGTGTTGCTGGACACTGGTAATTTGCTTTGCTTTGCAGTATTCCAGCTTCTGGAAGGAGGAAGACTTCAGATTATACACAAAATTTTTATATGTGTGTATACACACACACACACACACACACACACACACTCACACGGATTGTTGAATCACTCTGGGAGAGAATTCCAGAATTATGGAGCCCATTCCAGAAAGGACTTATCCTTGCTAAATACCACAAATATTCTAATAAGGGGCACATTCAATGTAGGCAAAGGCAATCCTGAAGGTTGTCTTGTTCCATTTAAAATTGTTTTCTGGTTGAAGTCTTTAAATTTCTACTTTGTTCAAGGATCAAAGGAATAGAAAGGATGTTTCTTGCACATTGGGGTGGAATATAAATATTGTAAGTAAGTAAATAAGTAAATAAATAAAAACTCATTTCAGTGTTAGAACTGAAATTCACCAAATTCCCAGTGAGTTGCAGTCCTAAACTTTATGAAAGCTGCTAGGTTAGGGAAAGCTTCTTTAGACCATATAGCCAAGATTAGTTAAGGACACATTAGATGAAATCTTCTTCAATCATCTGTTATTCATATATTTTATAATTTAGATTATAACAAAGTAAATTAAGAATGTGTGTTGCTTGTTTTGACTGAGAAGATGCACATGTGTAAAGGTACATATATATTTGTATGTACTAAATGATATCTTTATGTACTAATTAACATATTAAATCAGATATGTATCATGAATAATACACTGAGATAATTTCAAATAAATTATATCAGGATCATATCTATCTATTCATCCATCCATCCAAGTTATAGCTGTTAGTTTCTTAATTATCAGTTTTATGTTCTGGCAAAACATTTATTTTAAAAATAGTAAGAGAGAAGATTTAAAAATGTCTTGATATGTTAAGATATTAACATACTAAGATTTTTTTCTTTGAATGCATTAAAATGCATTTTAATTTTGAATTTGTTTTCTCAGTAGCCCTATATATGCAGAAATGGCTGTTCGCTGTTGGTCTTCTACTCCTTTTTGTACTACTCCTTATAAATTACATTTATGTTATTTTTTCTTTATAGGTTAACTTACCTGAATACATTTAATTTCAGTAGCGCCATAGCTTGTAAGTGAAGGATTGTCAAAATAAATAGAAACTATAGACTAGTTTCCCTAGAAGAAAAAGTTACAAGGGGTTATTTAGTTTGCGAGAGGGAGAGGGAGAGGGAGGAAAGAAGCATAGGGTATGATAAAGATATATGCAATTATGAATAATGTAGAGAAATGGATCAGTGCACAATTTTTGTTTGTGATACTGACAGTATTAAGATATCTTATATACTCATTTTTTATAGTAGGTGATGGAATAACATGGAATAATACTGATGAAGCTGTGCTCTTGTGATAACTTAGTAATTGCTGTTTCATGGGTAATTTATTTCAATTTATTTCAATTGTCTTCATTTTAGTTGACCTACTCTTAGCTTTATTGTTAGAAACAGCAGATATTTAACTTACCATCTACTTGAGAGAAAAACCTGTGAAAATGTCATCTGATGTTACTTGCTCATGAATTCACCTGAGCTCAGCATGTAATTAAAAGGACTTAAATTGTATACCAAATTGTTGTTCACCCTTTTATTTGTGGTTTGTGATAATGTTGCACTGAAATGATTTTCAAATTTGTTTGCAACAGAAAGCCATGACTGTTGTGAAGTAATTTCCCAAACAGTATAAAAATGGCAAGTTACTTCAGTATGTCATCTCTAAAAATTCTAATTATTGTTACCTAAGTGCTCGCAAGAAAAAAAGGTGTTTGTTTTGGTTTATATTGCATATAATAAAACATTGCATAGGAATGCTGCATAATTATGTGGTTGAATATTTTCTTTTGATCGAGGGGAGGGGGCAGAGAGCCCTTCAACCTTTTTTTTTTTTTTTAATATGCTTGCAGACTGGTTTAGTACCATACGTGGAGAGCTGATAGTCCTGTCTGTCATTGTGGTGTTAACTGATGTTGTCATATGTTACAGGAAGCTGCTTTTCTGGCTGAATGCCAGATTACTGATTCAAAAGCAACATAACAGATATAAAAAGGCACCCAAAAGAGCAGCTTAAGAATAGGCAGACTCATCTTACTGACGAGTTGATAAGGAATGGACTCTCCTTTTATTAGTTTATTTCTGAAAGAAACATGGATCATGAAATCATTTTAAAGAAGTTGGCTAGTTGTTACTAGAACAGAAAAGACATGCTTGTGTCACAGTTCAGTTAACCACTAAAGGGCAATGGCATGCACCCTGTTGACTATTGGAGATTATCATGATTTAATCTATTTTAACATGTCACTAATGTTACTCAGATTTATTTTAATTCATCTCATTAATAAGCTTTCTACAATCTTAATGCATATTCACATTCCTTGAGAGAGCAAATTCAACTGCATTGGTTCAGATACAGAAATTCTTTCTGCAACATCTTAATTGCTATATTTTCCAGTTTGTTAGACAAATGATTATATGTGGAGTCCTTGGTGCTCTCTGAACTTGGTTGTTTGCTTGCAGACGTTTCATTACCCAACCAGGGAAAATCATCAGCGGGGTGTTATCCAGCTGGGGAATAAAAAAAAAAGACAAACTCAGAAGGCACC